AAAAATATCATTATTGCGTAATTAGTAGGAGCACATTAATTTTCTTATTTTAAAGGATCAGATGGTTTTGTGAATGTCAACTAAATAATTCCAACTAGTTACTAACCAGGGATTTTAAGTAATCATTATGAGTGAATGAGTTAACAAGTAAGCCTATAAATGTCCTACCCCAGTGGGTGGTGGGACAATTGACAATTGGCACAGCCTTTTCTTTCTTGGTGGTTTCTCATCAAGATATCTGAAGAACTCTACCCTTGGGACATGTTCAGAAGAAACTTGAACAACGATATCATTTTCAAATTTCGTACCAGGAAGAAACCTAAAACATAAAGACAGAATAGTGTAGGTAAATTTAAACTGCTTGGAAATTGCTGGAGAATTCTTTAATTTACCCTAATTAAATCTCATAATTGGCAAGCTTTTCTCGAGTCCTCTGCGCATCCATCATGGGTTTATTGCTCCAATAAACCTAAGAGAATTGTGGTCTATTTCTTTATTCAAGCGTCGTTATAACATGGAAGCAATAGCTGGTTTTCANCTGTTTTAGAAAATGACTCAGAAAAAATACTCGAGCAGTCTCAGTTGGCAGTCGAGCGAGACTAAACCAAATACAAAATTAGTCTTGGTAAGCCGAGAACCATTGCCGAGAAAACGATGAACAAACATAAAGCCAAATAAACTGCCCGTACCAAGTCAGGAAATAACGAAAAGTAATGCCAAATTAATCCAGATGGCTTATAAAATGTACAAATTCGCGATTTTCTGTAATTTGATGAAGAAAACTGTCAAAATACAGAATTATGTCAAAGAAGTTGCTTCTTCGCCAAACCTGATTGAAATTGCGGTTGCCATGGCAATGTCAAAAATGATAGACGCGCAATTGGCATATCAGGATTTCTGCGGAGGATGTATTGACAGCTAATGAAAGTTTCAGTCCCTTAGAGTAGATCGTCTTTTCAAAAATTTGAGAAAGTCTTATGGGGAGTGGTGGCATCCAGCGCCCCCACCCCTGTACGTCCGAGGGTTAAGGTGTCTCGATACAGTTTTTTCAAGGCCATACCAAACATTTTCTATTAGCTATGTAACAGTCTTCCCTTCATCGGATCGATATAAAAACAAAGTGGCTGTGAGCCACTGAACTTGGAAAATAAATTATCAAAGGGTGTTATGAGACATTGCTCATTAAAAGGGACTTCTTGTGATGTGAGGATAGTCTAGCTTTCGAACAAATCCATAAAGCCTTTTTGCACTCAGCGGTGTGTTGTGATATTTGCAAATGAAAAAGTTCAACTTTAAGAAACTGTTTGTTACTCAGGCCTGCCTACACGTTTTACATTACATGTATCTGTACATGTCTTCCTTTTTCTGTAGTCAGAAACGGCAAGATCATTTTGTTTGGTCAAAAGTGAGGTATAGACTAAGCGAAATACTTGAGCCTGAGGTACGTAAATAAATAATTTATTCTTTCGCCCTTCGGTAACTGATGTACACGTAGGGCAGTGTGATGAGCGTTGGCTCGCCATGCGAGACATTGGGAGTTCGAATCCTAGTGGTGACTACTAGTTATTTTTCCTTTTCTTCTTCTCTCTTTTTCCTTTTTCTGTCAATAAACCATTTACCGAAAGGTAGCGTTTGTCTTTCCGTTTCTAGTGTTAACAAAATTGTCTGGAGCCTTTAATCATTCGTTTATATCAATTGCTTTCGAAATCACCATATCAAGTAGCTTTTTGAAGGAGAAACTACGAAGACTTTCCCTGAATCGAATCACTAAGGAAGCACCCTAAGTATTTTCTGTACAATGAATAAATCGTTGTATCTTCTACCTCTCGAAAATAACTAACTTGACACGCTGTAAGCGACTGTAAAACGGCCTTAGACGGCTGATGTTTGAAACCCGGGGGGGACTCCTATATTAAAAGGTCGGGGATGCTCGTCGTCTCGGGTTCAAATCAAGGATTCTGGTCTCACTTAGGGTGCTGATGTTGAAACTTTGTCATTTTTAGCTGTCGATGTATCCTTTAGGGTGCACTCGGGTAAATAATCATAAAAGAAACGCTTTCTTTTAATTTCTGTTTTCAGGCTTGATTTCCCCTGATCTCTAGAGTACGCGAGTCGGGGCTACAAGTACGCACGGGATCCTTTCTTGAACAGTGGCTAGTGATCGAGCCTATTTCGTTTTAAGTGGTATCTTTTAGGGGTCTAATGAAGCTCAAGCAACCTCCACAGTAGTCTCCCTTAGGAGTTAAATTCATATTTTCCGACGAGCATCCCTACTCATATGGGAGTCACCCCTCCCCCGGGGTTCCAAATGTCTAACAGGAAGTGAAGGAGTGAAGCAGGATGGAGTGAAATCGTTCCACCACTTCAACTTGGAAAATAACATTTTCTAAGTTTAATTAAACCAGTCATTGGAAATGGATTAAAGTCTGGAATTATGTATTTCTGAAGGCAATCGATATTTCCAAGGAAACGACAAGCAAAAAAAATTGAAAATCGGTAAAACATGAATTCTGCGCGAACCAGATGTGATATGAAAAAGCTAAAACCAATGCCTTAAACTATGGTGTATGGCAAACAGAAAAAAAAGAAGAAAGAAAAAATATGTTTGTTTCATCTCGAGCAAATCACAAAAGCATGTCAAATTATACCTTTTGCCTCATAATAGTGAGTGGACCGACAGCTAAACACTATTTGATGACATATTGCTTCAAACAATATCAAAACAGGGGAGGGTCCAGGGTTTTTCTTAGGACGGAGTGCAGCACTAAGGAATGGCGTAACTGCGGTGTTTTTTGTTTTGCAGACTACCAGTTATATTAGAAAGCCGCATGTCATCTCAGGGGGAGTGTGTGCACCCACTGCACACTTGCCCTAGATCAAAATGTGTCTTGAGGTTATGTTTTGAAGCCTAAACGTTTTGCTGAAGAACTAGAAGAAGAAGAAAAAGAAAACAAAGTAGGGGAATGCACATGCTATTATAATTGAGTTTTGATAAAGAGGATGACAGGTAAAGGATTTAATACCCCAAATTGGCCTTATTGCTAAGGTAATCCCTCTCAATTTATCTTTAGATCTCTCTTTTTGGAAAATCCCATGAGGTTCTAGAAATGCTCATTCCTCGAGAGGGATTTTGCACACGTGGACAGCTTAAGCTGGGGGACAAACTCCATTACCATTAATCCTCTCTTGGTTTTGGGCAATTACGAATACCGGTAGCATTCATAGTGAATGTTCAAGATATTGCTAACAACACCTTGCATTCAGGGTCCTTGTAGTCTTACCTGAGTGGTAACCCGTCGTTTAAAGCTTCTTTATCATCAGTTGGCTCAAGACCCTTCCGTAATGCAAGATATATCAGATTATCAGGACACAGTGGTTCCAAGGAGTTTCCGTAACCATAAGAGAAGACATCAAATGCAGCGCATATACTGTTTCTAACTGGTTCCTCCAGAGCAATTGGATAACAACAATATCTCAACATAGACTCTTCTGGTGATATGTTACTGCTACGGCACAAACATGCAAAGAAACCGGCATTCTGGGGCACGTGTTCAGTGAGACGATCAGCACGATCCTCCAGGGGCACGTTTTTAGGAGGACGATCAGCAGGATCCTTTGGATTTGGACTCAACATCTCTTTAAGCCATACGATAAACCTGTAAGGAATTGGGTGTAATTGTGTTGCATCCACAACTAACTTTTTACAAATCGAAAGTAGTAAAGTAACCAAGTATCCGAAAATATCCCAGAATCGTCGTCAACCGCAGAACCTTTTTTTGCAAATCGCAAAAAGGAAATTAGTTCTAGTGTTAGGGGTTTTCCGAAATTGCCGCCACTTGCGTCGTTATTTAAATACATAAACTATGACATTCTGCCATAAAGGTGGAAGAGAATTTTCGAAAAATAAGATAAATATTCTGTTGTTGGGTTGGAACTCCAAAGAGGCTTGAACGGAAACTGCGTTGTGCAGTTTCGCAGACTAGAGGTTCGCTACATGCATCATACGTAACATAAATTTAAAACAGGATTTGTTTATGGAACAATTGTTTTCTTTCTCGCAGGATACCATGGAAATGCTACGTGAGGACCTGCGGAGAAATCAAACTCATTTATAGGACACTATTCAGGAAATAATTAAACGTGAAATTGAGGGCCCTTCACCTCATTTCTTAGATAACGCAGGTGGCGATATACCGCCTGTTTCTTTTTTCTGCTATTTAAGGTTTGCCTTTTTGCAAATAAACAGATCAACCTTCGGCCTTGGTTTTTCTAGTTCTTACATGTATTTAAGATGGCTCTCGCCAGATGTAAAACTTCCGCCCCTACCTGGTACTTAAACAACCACTTTTAATCTGGATACAGAGAAAATGCAGTCCCAGTCTGACTATTTTAGTGATCAGACTCCAATTGTTGAAAGGGTGGAGAATGCTATCCACTGGAGGTCACACTATCCGGTGGATAGTGTGGTTTGTTTTGTCAACCCTGGATGACGATTTATCTAAGTACATAGTGGTATCCGCCATTTACACAACTGGGTCCTAAGTGGTTTTTCATGGCAGCTTCACATACTCTCCAAAATCTTTACCCATTTTCAAAGGTCACTTTGCTTCCTTTTACTATCGCCAAAGTTCCATTTTTATTTTTACTTTTTAAATCAACGTTAATTACAACTCTTTTATCAAAACCTCTTTTGGAGGTGGATCCAGTGTTGTTGGTTTTTCATTTCAAAACTTTCTTTGCCTAACAAATCCCCTGCAATCGTCCGCTTTAGATGAATCGGAGCAACGACTACACCGACGAAGGAGAAGATGAAGGTTCCTCTTTTTTCTGTGTACTAGTATTGCACTCAATTGCGTTTCTGCAACATTTGCCCTACATTCTGCCGTTTCGGGTGTGGCAAATAGCGGCAATTTCGGAAAACTTCTGATATTGGCTGACGTCTTGCACAAGCACTACGTCACCTATGTTTTCCCAATCTCCAGAATATTGTTCTTGGATTTGCAAAGTGCTCCGGATTTATTGGAGTTGTTTGGAGCTATCATAGTTTTATTAAGGCCAAGGGGAAATGTCCACTAAGACCAAGCCAAATCGAAAATATGTGGCACGTGACGAAAATAAAAAAAAAAATTTCATATATCGTCTAGAAAAATATTTATGCAACCCGCGAAAAAAATAACAAATTCGTTACGGCAACACGTACCTCCTGTTTCCCCTCTGCCGTAAATTTCCAGACTCAAACTTGAGCCTTCCGATATGCGGATTATACAGAGCAAAATTTGTGAAAAGGTATGAGTCACTTATATTTTATGTGTTTTTCACAATACGTGATTTTTGGCGGGCTTTTAGAAATAGTTTTAGGCAGTAAATCCCTGCACATTCTTCATGTGTCACCACTAGCTTGATGTCAGTGGACATTCCCTCCTTAGATGTATAACTGTTCTCTTCAAATTTGACAAACTCTTCAACGGTAATTTGCCAAAAAACAGTGTGAAAAAAATGTATTTTTTCAGATTGGAAAAATATTTTGGAATTGTCCTTATCAACTTCCATACCAAATTTGAAGGAAGGTCGTATCTAAACTAGGAAGATTCTTAAAGTACTTGTGAGTTGTAAATAGAAGATTCTAGGTAAAATATTTTAATCCGCTATTTTTCAGTTCCCGTAATACCCTTTCTTAGGGCGGGGGGTAGATTAAGCACTATTTTTCTTTCGAAATACTAAGCTTGAAAAGAACTTAAAACAATTACTTACGCGAAACTACTCCCCCTGCCCTCTTCCCCACGCCCGCAAAACAACTGTGTCATGAGAACTGGAAATAGTTAAAAGCCAAACTTGAAGGACGGTCATATGTTTCTGCAAATTTCATGCTGCATATCTTTGTCAATGCTTATGCATACAAAACAACCCAATTCCTGAATTACTGGTTGAAGAAAAGAATCAAGGGTCGTTTTTTAGTTACCTGGTGAAATGTGTCGCTTGAAATGTAATCACCCCATTTGTTAAATTTGGTCTTGGCAGTTGCTCTGTAATCTCTGTCCAATGCGATGTTTCCTCGTCAGAATTCATTAACAACCTTACATGTGGGTTCTTAAACGAGGGTTTTCCACAATCATTCTTGTCTGCTTGCAGTGAAGTAGGAATAGTAATTGTTGCTGGCTCCACAAGCTGAATGACAGGCGAACATGCTATGTGAAGGACAGGGCCGATTATTTCACTATCGTCAAACCACTGATGTGGAATTTCTTGGACCTGCAAAAACAGTAACCATTGTAATCGTCCTAAAGAGACCAATATATAGTATGAGAAAGTGCAGGAACTAAATGCGAAATGTGACCAGTGTTCAAGAAAAGAAGGGGGGATTCATCAAAAAAGCGAGCCGTTTCTGAAATGTCGGCATCGTTAAATTGTCGGGCATTGGATTTTCTAAAGGAAAAATCTTAGTATTTATCTTCGGGCCTACAAGTTGGGGTGAGAGGTGGGGTGGATGACACTGCCAGAATTGTTTTTTAGGATTTTCAAAACAAGATTTACTATATGAAGCTAAAATTTTCAGTAGCTTTCATCTTATCCCTCGCCAAGATTTGTCCACCGCCACTGAGTATTGAAGAGTAAGTAATTCTCTACATTCAATTACAATTTTGGAATAAATTTGAACCAATTTACGTTATTTTGTGACACAAGATGGTAGACTTAACGATGCCAGGGACCTCACAAGACATAATAGCCGATGAATAATATCTGATTTCGGGGTAATGTCTTACCTAGGTAAGGGTGTGTCCAAAAAGTTGAATACTTAAAGCTAAAATAAAAGGTGTTTTAAAACTCTTATACTGTTGCTATGGTGACCTATTTTGAACGAATTATTACATTTATGTCCAGGATTGAACGCAGCTACAAATTCTACAGATTTTACGATTTTTCGATTTTTCGTTTCAGTTTCGGCACGTTGTAACGAAACTTACAATCTTATGCTAATTCCACCAGCAAGTGCCGGCTCACGGATTTTACAAAATTTACAAAATTGCCAAAAAAGATAACAAGCTTTATGTTTCTCTTGTTCTTAAAGCGTTTGCTGTTGACCGAGTATTGTAAAGCGGGTTATGGGGAAGTGAGCAGAATGATATGAAATTAACACAACACCAACAAAACATAACATGAGATAAGCGTTTCTTGTTGACTTTCTGTTCTACGTTTCATCAGCGTGCTACGTATTCAAAACGATCTAAAACGCTCACAGCAATGTTTAAGCCTACGCGTCTATGGGAAGACAAAGCGGGGGAAAATATTCCATTTCACAAAGACGCGGCTCATTAACCTTGTTCTAAAACTCCCCTAATCTTCCCTCCAAGCGAGTTTCGGGAAAAGTCACGACCGCAGAATGATATGAGATAAACGTAACACTACAAGAGATAACAAACTGCAATGTTTCATTGTGAAAACGTTTGTTCTATGTAGATTAACATGAGTATCGAAGCATACATTCAACAAGTAAGCTTCTTATTCTAAAACGCTCTCAGCGATGTTTTAGCTTACCCCTGTCTTTGGGAACATAAAGCACGAGAAAAATATTCCACCATTCTACAAACACACGGCGTATTAAATTGTTGTAAAACTCCTCCAAACTTAAAACGAGTTTCGGGGAAGGTCACAAGAGCGGAAGTAGAGTGGAATTATACGAAATTAACCTAATAGCAAAAGAGATAACAAACTGCAAAATCTTCGCGTTCTAAAATACTCTTCCAATCTAAAACCGATTCTCGGGAAGGTGACGGGAGCGGAAAAACATAACACCGAAAGAGATAACAAACAGGCCAAATGATTTTCATTCCAGAGGCGACTCTTGCGAAAAATTACAGGAATATATGTGTGCGTTACATGTAAGTACACAAAAAATTAGATTACCCCATAAAAAGTAGAGAAATTTACATGTAGATGTTGGTTCCATTTTAAGGGACATTTCACGACCCTAACATAAGGAAATGGCTGGCTGATACGAAAAGGTCAACGGTCCTCCTCTTTCGGAAGTCATGTTGCTTAGTCAAGAGGACAGTCAAGAGTCAAGCTTTCTCCCTTTTGTGCACAATGACTTTTAATCTCAACAATGTATACTGGCAGACCTATTCAGTGTTTGTGCTAGAAAAATCAGATTGCTTGTAAGTAATCGCTTTTTCGATTTATTTCTACTTTCTTGCCTTCAATTTCAATTTCACTCCTAAAATTCGTAATTTTGGTAACTTTGGACGGGCCTTGCTTGCAACCTTCTGAATAAATTTCGTGGTTTTTCTCGATGGTCTGGCGAATTATCGTAAATTTCAAAGTTTTCATGTGACCCTTTAAATAAATTTTGTAGATTTCGTTGATGGTGGGGTAAATTATGGTAAATTTCGCATATTTCGTAAATTTCGCAATTTTCGTAAATGTTATGGCGAATTTCCATAAACTTCGCAGTTTTCGTAACTGCGTAATTGCATTCAATCATGGACATTACTCAATTATTACAGCATCAACTGAAAATGGTAGCATCGTTCCCGGCATCATANTAAACTTCGCAGTTTTCGTAACTGCGTAATTGCATTCAATCATGGACATTACTCAATTATTACAGCATCAACTGAAAATGGTAGCATCGTTCCCGGCATCATAGAAAAGTGCTTGAAATGCTGGAAACTACAGTGGGCCACATTTGAGTTGAGGTGAGCTAAGAATTTTTTTAAACACGGTAAAAATTGCTTCAGCATAATTACAAGTATAATATCTGAATCTGCCTAACTGAACTAAGTAAGAATTAATTTAATATTATTAAGAAGATTTCTAGAAAGCAATCATTTCCGCCGCCATGTTGAACGCTTGAGCGCCAAACATGACGTCACTACGCACAAAATAAACTCAACTAAGAAGTCACGTTAGCAAAAACCCCGTAAAACCCCCTTTCTAAACATATTATTTGATAACAAGGATGCCGTGTTATCTATCGAATGGCCAAGGGTTGATCTCCCTGTATAGTAAGCCCATGCATTAAAAAGTGGTTATTTTTTAAACGTTTTGTGGCAACTTACAAAATACATGTATATCAAACAACAGTTTACTCTAATTGAATCAAAACAGTCTGTTAGCTTTCAAATACAACTATCATCTCCTGAATACAAAAAACTATTCACATGAAATGTCCTTAACATGAATTGTGGGCGATAGAGGTTCCTTCGATCTCCTGACCTCATAAACATTATTTTTCTTCTTGTCCTTTGCAGTTCGCGGAGCAAAGCATTTTTAAGGTGCAACCAGATCCTTTTGGAGTAAAAAAGAAATGAAAATGTGTTCTGCCAACAGTTTCATTTTCATGTAAATGAAAATCATTTTAATATGAAATAAAGGTTTTGCACGAGGACTCGTTTTGAAATAGAGGCACAAGGTAACTCAGAAATGTCCTATTCTGGGTGCATTGGCATCATGCTTTGTGCCCAAGGCTTTAAAATGACGGTCAAAATGACTCAGGTTTAGCGAGTCCCAGCAGGAGAGTTTTTGTTGTCATAATCTGTTTAAAACAAACATAATTTCCAAAACCTACATTTTTGCTTGTGAGGTATTATATACTCTCGTAAAAATGACTTTTGAAATGTAGGTTTTTTATCTTCTGTTTTCCGTTGAGAATTTGACCTCACTCATTTCTTATCGTTTCAGCCATGACCAATTGTAAGCAGTATGGCTTCGTTCCGCAAACCTTTCCACATCTTTTTTTTCTGGATAAGTACATCGCCTTTTAACATATTGAATTTTGCTAACTGTCATGATGTTTCCAGTTTAAGCTTGTTAAACGTGACAAAAATGACTGAGCAGCGTTTATTTTTTGGGCGAAAAAAGTGGCTTTCATAACGAGGTGGTCGTATTAACGGGGTGGTGGGAAGGTCTTTCCTGTACACATACATTCACAAGAAGTCATTCTCTACCTTTACTGTGCAATGATTGTTGTCGAAATAAATTACACGGGGTTTATTTTTTTCCTTTGAGAAAAAATGAAAGCAAACCTTTAGAATTGAAATGGTTGCATAGTCCGGTTAAAATCTTAGGTATTTATGTCTCATACGATAAAAATGGAAATATGCAAATGAAAATCAAACCAATCTGGATATGTGGAGGGCACGTGAACTAACACTATTCGGGAGAGTACTTATAGTAAAATCCTTGGGTCTATGACAACTCGTTTATTCAGCAATTCTCAAATTGTTCCTCACGAAATAGCGCCGACAATTAAGACAAAACTGTTTAACTTCCAATGGAAAAATAAAAGAGACAAAAATCAAACGAGCAGGACTTTGTCAAGACCGAGAAAAAGGTGGCATATGTATGACTGACGTAGAAAATATGATTAAAGTCCTTGCGTTAGCTTGGATTCCAAGACTTTTGATTCCAGAAATAACAAACTGGAAAACGGTCCCAAATTAATTCCTGAGAAAATCTGGAGGCTTGAACTTTCTATTAAGGTGTAATTATGACTTAAAATACATACTATTGGATGGTTTGCCCTCGTTTTACAAAGATTTTCTTACTTTTTTCAACGAATTGAAAAATCTCTACAGCTACGACAGAGTGCAAGATATGGTCCTATATAAAAACAAAGAAATTCTCGTCAGAGGAAAACCAGTGTTCATTAGAGAATGCTTTGACGGTAATATTTTGTCTGTCCCGGACCTGCTGAACAGCAATGGTCAGCTACAGTCTTTCCAAGAATTTAAGAACAAGTATGCCTGCAAATTACAAATTGCCTGCATATATCAAGTTATCAGTGCAATTCCAAAACATTTAGTAACTAAAGCAAGAAACACAGAGCCACCGGAAAACGAACTATACACAGGAAATAACTTCCTGTTCCAGTTAGACGACTCTACACAAATACAACTGGAAAAAGTTAAAACTAGAGACCTATGGTTTATCAAACCGTAAAATTGACACGGTCAGCCAGACTGGCCCAACGAAATGGAACAACATAATAAGACTAGATGGGAATGCCTGGAAAAAAATGTCACATCCCTAAGAAACATCTGCAAGGAGACAAAATTGAAGGAATTCCAGTTTAAATTAATCTACAGAATTGTAGTTACTAAAAAGGAGCTTCATCGATATGGTATTAAAGCGGACGATGAATGTCTCTACCGTGGTGAGAAAGGCTCAATTGATCCTACATTTTTTACCTGTCAATTTGTAAAGACTTTCGTAAACAACGTAATTAACTGGTTTAACGCCGTTCACAAGTCAAAATTTGTGCCAACAAATTGAAGAGCCGGACTATTCGACAACATATCTGGCCCATATGAAAAACAAAAATTTAAAAAAATTTAATTACACAATCCTATTGATGAAATACTACATATACACTAGTAACATGCATAACCAAGCTATTCACCTTTCTGTCTTCGTCGATAAAGTTTTTTAAGTACAGATTAGAAAACGTTGGTTATTAGTTACAAAAAGCTGCTCCTCGCAAAAGTGCTCTAGGCGAAAGTCTGTGGGAATACAGTGTAATGCTGTACATGAAAACGGTTAAGCTAGCTATATATAAGAAAAATGTTAGTAATGAGGTGTCAATTAAATAATTAATGTACGACATAATGAATTCATTAGGTACTGCGATGTAAAAGAAATAGTGATGATCAAATGTGATACTATTACTGACAAAAAGTAAAGGAAACAAATGTAAATGTAGGTTTAGCGATATTTGAGTTGAGTGATATAAGTACTAATAGTGCAGGAAACCAACAAAATTAATACATTTTTGACTGAAAAAAAAATTACACGGGGTTTGGTTGGCGAGGAGGAGGTGTAGAGCATGTACAGAGAACAGTGCACAGCCAGTCAGGTAAAATCATGGCTTAACAACGAGTTTTTCTAACTATACCTTAAGAGTTAACTGGAAGTCGCCATTCTTGTGGACGACACTCGCTGGGATTGTCACAGTCACATCAGGGTACTCTGGAACTCTGCAGGTAAAATCTTGTTTTTGTTGGCCATGCGTCGAATATGTGTAGGACTTGAGACGGCAGATAACAGCAAACACGGAACAACACGTAACTTTAGCCTCAGAAAAGGGGAATCTTGGTGTTGAGTAGAGATCACACTGCGTATCTGCTATTAATAAAGATAGGTGAGCTAAAGGCCTCGACACGCGTGGGAGCTCTTTTTGTTCGCCACGTATCTCTAACAGTATTTGCAAAAAATGCTTTTAACCCTGATTTCCCTTTACGCCAAAATTACATCAAAAGATTTCAAAATGTCCGCCATCTTAGATCTGTCTTCTTAGATTTCAAACAAATTTCTCATAAAGTTAAAGCAGCTCAAATGGATTCAGAAACAAGCAAGGACCCGAAAAGTGTAAAAATTTGGAATAAGACTGTTATAGAATTCAAATCCGCATTAAAACAGACCTTCAGAAAACATTCAATTTGGGTAGCCGATTAAAGTGACCAAACAAACGACTGAACAAACGTTTCCCTGATAACTATTAGAGTTTCATGACTATCAGTTGAACGCTGTTTGAGTAGCTTTTTGACTTGCTTTCTTCAGATTATAGTTCCGGTCTAAGTGGGAATGAATGAACGAAATGACACATTAAGATTTTATTTAGATTAAAACGGTTAGTCACACATGCAATTACCTGACGCTTTCCAAATGTTTGTTGTCTTTAAATCCTTCCACTCATTGTTGTGTGGATCCACCAACTCTCTCATCACCACCTCGTACCCGTTAAGGTTAGTGGCACTGTGAGATAAGGCAACTGAAACTTCCTCATCAAAATTCCCGGTAAAATCGGAGCGTAGAAGATCATCGCATGCAAGGGCTATTACATTGCTAACCAATGCCTCATTCTTTCTTAAGGGTGGAAAGGCAATTGTTGACTGCCACAGTATGCATCGGAACACCACAGTTGTTTTCACAGCGTTCGGGGGAAATGTTACACAAGCAGCCAGAGAATCCTGAAGCCTCCAAACTGCTCCGCTTTCGCCCACCTCGCATCTAAAACAAATCACATAATGAAAAAATATATATATATTTATATCCCTATAGTCTCCGAGATTACTGTAAAGAGCAAGAATATTGCAGAGGTTTTACAGTCCCACAAATAATCCCCCAAATGTTACTCCAAATGATCACAGACTGGAAATGATCCCCAGATTGTACCGTTGATGATTTCCCAACCGGAAGTGGTTGCCTCGTCATGAGTGATGGAAATGTGTGGACTCATGAATTTGGACAGTGGACTTCAAATTTATGTCATTGATTCTTTTTTTCTTCCTGATAAACTCAGAAACCATGAGCAGTTTGACTTGATTCTGACAGGTAAATAGTGTATTGATAAATCACAATAAAGTTCAAGACACGCGAGAAAACCTCAAAACCACAAACTAATTACCGTTGATGCTTGCGGTTCAGCTTTCTCACGTCTAATTGGCTTTTTCATCGCTACACAATAACATTTTATAAGTATCTCTGTTATTCACGGTTTTCTGAATTAAATAATACAATATTTTGATACCACAGTTACTATATGTAACGTGAGCAAAATGTACAGTGTTTGAACGATTTGAATGCAAATTTCACAACTTTAAAAATGATATCCTGCCTCACAAAATTCTGTGTTCTAAATTCGTAGTCTAGCTACGTTTTTCCATGAATGTCTTTATCGGGTCACCTGAGATGTATGCTGCTCACACAGGATGTTCAATATATTGTCAAATTTGAAGACAACTGAGAACTCCCAGGTAAATTGAATACACTTTCACTCCAAAATTCGCTCGTCGAGATCGTGTGCACTTTCATAGAGGACCGTGTCTATTTAGGACTCAAGTATAAGTAGTATACAGGGAAACGTTATAAGCAGTTAATTAGATAACAGAGGCATCTTCGAAGATTCATGCTTATTTTCGCGGCGCGTTTTGTAAACGAAAAATTTATAAACGTTTAAAGTTGTCCTTCAGTAGCATTTCCGAATAGATCCATATATTGTTTCAATTGAGGCGTTGAGCTATGGTATTTTAATTTCAAGCTTTCGCCGTACTTCGGCATCATCAGGGAATGAAGGAAAATATTCAATAGTGCGTGATATAGAAGTGGTGTGGGTGACGTTCACGATTTGAATATGTAATACCTCCAAACAACCAATGAAGAAAAGGAGAAAAGGCAGACCAATTCCACCGCACCATGATCAACCTAGACCCTAGACTGAACTTTGAGATCGAGAAACCCGCCTCCTCACCAGATGGCTTCTCCCTATCCCCCCTTGACTTCAAAGTTTCACTCTCGGAGAACGGCGAAAGCTCCTTTGAATTCTACAAAAACCAGCGACGAAGCCGTTATTGGTGCACCATCAGTCAGCACTACCTAGAAACTCAAAGATTAACTTCATTCGTAATGAACGAAGACATATACAGCAGAGATGCTCTACCCAAACAACATCCAGTAAACACGACCGCGCGTTTGACAACATCCTCCGCCTCAACGGATTTCCTGAAAACGTCATAGAAGAAACTAAACGCCATCACCAAAGTGAGCCTCAAACTGTAAACACAGAATGGTTATACTTCAAAATCCCATTCATCTCAGATCGACCAGATTACAAAATCACCAGAATCTTCCGCAAAGAAGGCCTCCTACAACGCGTCGCTCAAAAATCCTACACGCTATTCTAAGACAACCCCTCTCTCACCACACCCAAAACACATGCACGAGACCAAACTCCTCTATCTCAAACAGCAATCTGTGTCCACGAAGCAATACCGTGTACCAAGTCACTTGCAGGGGACGTAAAAAATTCTACATCGGAAGGACCACACGATTTGTACATGATCTCATTAATGAACACCTGAACAGCAACAACTCGTTAGTAGAAACACAAAAACACATCGCAACGTGCCAAAAGACAACTAACAACCAAAACAGCCAAAACACGGATGTCAAAATAATCGAAAACGATCCTGTCAACTTGCGATTGTTTGAGGTGCTCTACATTCGAAAGTGCAAGCCCGAACTTAATTCCCTTGGAGAATGTACTAAGCTCAGACACTTTCTAGTTTGGACTGCTTTATTTTGAACTGCTTTATCACTCGTACTCGTTATCATATATTTCCATCACCATTTTTACACTCATTGTCCTTACTACATATTCATATCATTCACGCCACCAACACCACTTTTATATCGGGCACTGTTGAATATTTTCTTTCATTCCCTGATGATGCCGTAGTACGGCGAAATACGGTAGCTTAAGGTCTCAATTGAATCAATATGTCTATCGAAAAATTTATATATTCATTATTTGTCGACACAGGCTAACGTTTTTTTATTATTGCCTTTATGCCTAATGCGCTAGTCTTTTTTTGCACCTAGGATTACTAAAATATATATAAGCCTCATATCATGGAGTCCACGCAATTCCTAATATTGAAGATATTACTATGGTAGCTGAAGGCTTTTGAAATTTGTTGTAATAGACTTTCCTATTTTTGTGTTTTTATTTTTGTATATATCCTATTATTGTGTAATCTATGTTAGGTAATAGCTTCAGCGCTCCTATTGATGGCAGAGATGCTTTGTAAGCTCCCTGAAGGGAGTGCCCTGAAGTTTTTACCTTTAGATTTTTACTTTTAAATAAAGGTGTCTATTTATCTATCCGAACTCTTTGCGGTATCTTTTACAGGAATCATTTGCAGTCAAGGGATCATTTACGAGCCTGCACAGAATCAAACACGTAGTAACCATTTAAAAAAGAATGGTAAAGGGAATTTGAAAGAAAATAACTTCTCTATTCCGGCGCCCAACGTAGATTCTATCCAGTTCTCTGAGAGGGCCTCTGAATCAGTCCGCACACTCTCACGGGATGTCGCAGCCTCCATCTCACTCTCTGACTTGGTCTGTGTACACTCCATATGTTCTCTTGATCCAGTCTCAGTGTCATTATTACCCTCTGATACAGGTTCTGGGCTACTGTCCCCTGTAGATCATATGTTTAGAGAACACAGGAATAAATTATTTCAATTATTTGCTTGAAGGCAAACTTTGTAGGTCTTTTAGAGTGTTACCATGATCAAATTTTTACCTCTTGAATTGTTAGGTTTATCACATAAAATTCCACGAAAGATCAAAAACGTCGCTTACCGCTTGCAAACATTTGCATTGGTTCTGGAGATACTCGAGTTTGAAAAATGTGTAAAATATGCAAATGAGAGGACTGATGATTTCATACACTCAACCAAATGTTACATCAAGTATATAAATGGAGCTATCTCATTAAATTTGCAGCAGATACCATTGAAACTTGGTAGGCTGTTAGTTCTACATGCAACACACTTACGGCTACAACAATAGTCATTCCCATAGCAACCCCCTCTTTTCTAGTCCCCTCCAACCTGATTTCAATATTTTAGTGATTTTCAGCTCGAAAAACATTAAACAGGGTCGTGAACTTGACCTAACATATTTATATGCTTGCTGGATCATGCAGACGAGGCAACATTGGCAAATATTAATATGGAACGCTAAAGGTGGCTAAGAAAGCCTTTAATATTGGAAAGGTCTAGAACCCAGTATATCGCCATGGGAACAAAACTGTTAAGCTAAAATATTATGGTGCACTCTAATAGAATCTTACCTGAAAGAATCAAACATTTCTGTTACAAACTGGCTAAGATATCTTTGCTCATCGTATTTGATCAAAATTCGGTTGAGATAATAATGTCATCACTTGGCTAATTTGCATATTTTAAAAACTTGGCCTACAAAACTTTTATAATTTGAAAGCATATCTTTAAGACACTTTTTGGTGTTATCCAAAGCAATTTCATCAAACAGTGTTCAACTGTCGGTTCATTTACTTTTATGATGCAAAATGTAAAATTTGAAATGTCTTACGATTTACTTGAGTTCAAACATACAGAATTTTTTTTTTTATTCTTGTACATTCTACTTGCTATACACAACAGTTTAAGGCATTGGCATTAGCTATTTCATACCACATCTGATTCGAAAAATTCATGTTTTATCGCTTTTCAATTTTTTTCTTTACCGTTTCCATGGAAATATCGATTGCTTTGAGAAATACATAATACCAAAGTTCAATCCATTTCCAATGACGGGTGTAATTTTGATATCGATCCGATTAAGGGAAGACTGTTAAAACGCTGATTAAAAATGCTTGGTCTGGTCCAGAAAAGATCACACCAGCTATAATATTCGGGCAATTTTCGACTTAACAAGGCCTCGATAGATTGTCTTGAAACGTTAACAATACATACTTGGTAATGCGACCAATTTTACTGGTAAGATTTATTAGCCTTGATTCAACAGAACACACTCAGATTTAACGATAAAGGAGAAAGGAAAAAGTTGTGTGAAAATTTCAAGGAGTACGATACTTCTTTGCTAATGCCGATGCACCAACGAAGGCCGTCCTGTCTCAAGCACGTTCAAAACGGGGAGGAAATAGTTTCGTGGACAAGGTACAGACCTATCAATTTCGTATGGTGCACTGCACCAGAATGCTGGAAATGTGCTGTCGCGTCGGCTATATTTCCAAGCCAATTGAAAGGAACGTCAGCACCGAGAGCAAAAAAGTATTCGGGAAATGCCACCAGCAAGCCACACGACCATCAGGTGACCGTTAGGAAAACCGAAGTGTCTGAGGGCCTACAATGTGGACCCGCTAGCTCGATGGAAGAGGGAAAGGAGGGATCTACCGCTCACAACACTACAGTTGCGAACCCATCGGGTCAATAAAACAATCTGTCAAATGGTGGGAGGAGGCTGGGAAATACCCATACTGCGTAGACATCGCCCATCTTGACTGTACTACTAAGGTTTACTTGGTCCAATGGGACGCACCGACCCTGGGGGAGGGTGCGCCCTATCATTGGTGAGAGTTACGTGAACCTGGCTAGATCGCATGGCATCTGGCACTATCAAAACAAAAACGATTCGTGCTAACGTGTTTAACAATTCCATGATAGCCCAGTAGATAGACTCTACTGGAGTCATTTCAACCGTTATTTCAAAGAGTGGTGTTAATAAGTATGACCGCTGCGCTGCTAAGAAAGGCCCTTGAGCACAGCTCACGTAGCGGGTGGGCATTGACGTCCTGGGGCCACTCCTACAGACAGAGCAAGGTAAAAAGTACATCCTCGTTTCGATGGACCAATTTCGTAAACGACCAGAGGTATACGCACTCCCGAATCATGGGGCAGGCACCGTCGCTGATGTCCTTGTGTACCAGTTTTCTAGTCGGTTTGGTGTACCTGCTGAGATTCACTCTGATCAAGGTCAAAAACTTGAATTTTTTAGGTCCCAGAGGATAAGCAATCCGCTTCCAAAGCCAGATGACACGGTATAGCGCTACTATAGAAGTCCAACTCGCCACCTTTGTCAAGGATGATCAGGGGGACCGCAATCAATATCTAACACTACTACTCCTTCAGCAGTGCGTGAAACCATAATGTTTACTCCACCCCATCGCCAAAGATCACCCACGAAATCGGGTATCGTTTTTTTCCTTCACCGCGTTTAGCCATCGGGAATTTCACTGCCGTGAATTTTTACAATTTTGAACCAAAATTGGAACTATGTTTGATTGGCTAATTCCTTGTATATTTTACTTATCTTCTTCGTCTTTAGTTGTGTGTTTCGAAAAATATCTCGACCTACGTTCTTGTTTTACGTCACAGACTGACGAAGCCCAGAGCCTCACCTCACGCGGTTTCTGGCCAACCGGAAGTAGAATTTCTCGTTTTCAAACGACCAAAACGCTGTAAAAATACAACGATATCCAATTTTAGTTTTCGCTTTCCCTAATAAGATCTCTCGTTCATTCCATTAAGTAAATGAAAACCAATTATCCCATACTCACTTCACAGTCTCTCCCGTAAAACCCTGAAAACCAGCGAAACTTTCTGGAATGTTTGTTTCGCGACCAATCAGATGTAAGAAGAAACCGCTAAAGGAAACCGCAACATGGATTAGTCACGACTTGACAGGAAACAATGAGCTGGCTCTTTCTTCCCCGAGAAATTTTCAATTTTTCAAATACAGTGTCTGATCCTGTCTACTCGATTCAACATCGCTTTTCCGTGAGGTATCGTTCATATATATTATTTTGCTTAAACATAAGCTGAAATGGAAAACGAACAATTTCAGTGGCGGATCCAGACCTTGAGCTTAGGGGNTACTGGGGATTTCTGCCTGATAGCAGGTTGAATGATTGTACCGAACAACAAAACGGAAAACTTAGGAATATTTGCATTGGGGAATTTAAAATCACCAGACGAATGCCTACAGGTTATGCAAACCTAATGGGACACCGTTGAAATGGCAGGATAGGAATGTTGTTTGACAGTCAAGATATTATAACCCAGCTAAGGTAAACATATATATGTTGGTTTATGCTTAAGTCGAGCTGATATTCCTGTGATATTTCGAATTGAAGTGATTTAATCACCAACAAACAATTTTCAGCCCAGTTAGAACTTGTTAGATTGATGTCTGGACGTGAAACCGATAATGTCCTTTTTCTCGGAAATACCAAGACATTTGAAGAAAAAAAACTATATAGCGTTTCCACTTTTACTAAGGCCTACTTATATGCAACGGTGGGGCAAATTCTATTTTTCAAGCCTTACCGAACTATTTTTGATCCTTGTGTACATTTGCTCTTAACAATTAGGGAGGAGCACCCACCAGCCATCCCAAGGAAGGGATGGGACGGGGCAAGAAGTTACCAGCAAGACTCAAGCGGATGAAATATTAGAGCAAGGAATGCTTGAGTAAGGGCATCAAGATAGAATTGGGATTAGGAGCACGTCAGCCGTTACAGAACGAAGCGGAGAAGTCCCCATATATATAGGGACTTTGGAATGATTTGACCGAGGATGATATTCCAATATTTTATTTAAAATGCCTCAGTTACAGTTCTTGTTTGCCAAAATCGGAACGACTAACTGGTTACAGAGGACGGCAGTGTAACGGGCCAAAGTTGCGTGACATATCTGCTATATCTGGGTCTTTGGAAGACCGTTGCGTTGTAAAACAAAGAGATCAGGGTGTGCGAAGAGAGTGAGCGGATTAAAAAGCATAAAGGATTTTCCTTGAAAGAGCTTTCTAGCCTTGTCCACCCGGCGTGTAGTACACAGAGGCAAAAAAAAAAAGAAAACCACCCGAAAATTATAGTTGGAGTGATCTCAAGAAAAATAACCTATTTATGGGAATCGGGAGAAAATGAAAACTACACGATAACTTGAAGGCAAGAATTTCATTTTCTTGCGTTGAAAACTATTTTAAGAACGTCTGCATTTTCTTGAGCCGCCGTGTAATATCCTTTATACGGATCAAGTCTGGTAGAAAATTTCTTATTGTTAAACACGACGACCAATTGGCCAAAATTAGAAACGATATGAAATTACTCATTGAAAAATTCTAACACTGCCACGCAACCTGCGCTCACCTGAACGGATCAATGTTGTATGTGAGAAATAAAATCACTAGGCAGTTAAAATTTTGGACAGGTTGCGTTCTATCGTTGATGAATTAGTTTTAGTTTTAAGTTCATTCCATGTCCGCTCCCAGTTTTAATGACTTGTTAACACTTCTCCTAAGGTACATCTTAAACGAAAATCAGGCTTGAAAACCTGCATGTCAAAAGATGCACAGTCTGGAAACAGTTTGGTTGAAGGTTTACCCTTCAAATTAAAGAAGACAAATTGTTTCATTATTAAATTCGACTTAGCCTTACTTGTTTCCGGTAGACTTTCAGATACGTTACAAAAGATTTTCGCTGCTGAAGTAGTATGTTCTCAAAGATTAGAGTGGGAATAAAGGAATTAATATTATCATGGAAGCTACACCTCTTTTGTGAGATAAACTACGCCAAGTTCTGTTGGACAAAAATGGCTAAGTATCTATCTCTAGTCAACTTAGCGCGTAATAGAAACCAAACTTCCAAATAATACCTTTATAATAAAAAACTTTGGTTTTTTTACGCTCCTGGGAGTCGGTAAGTGGAACTGATGCCTTTCTCTTTCTTGTTGTACCCTGCTGCATGTTTGACCCATCTGCAAAAAAAGAAACCAAGAATCGAACAAACAAAGAAACATCTCACTTATTGGACTAAGAATTTTAAGGCTTACCTAAAAACTGCAGAAAGTATGCTCGACAAGCTTTGTATTCCTCCTCTGAAATAGTTACGGTGACCTTTACCTCACCAAACTCCCGGATAAGGTCGTCCGTTATAAGTAATTTTTGTGCGACTTCGTTCATGTGGCCTCTGCTAGATTCTTCCCACAATCTCTCAAGTATTTCAAGAGAAGTACATTCCAGTGTGATTATCACGCTCCCTAGTGTCACGCCAGTTATCAGCAAGCGCATTTCTTTAAGATAATGCAAGAATTCATCTTGTTCTGCCTTACAACGAGGCGGTGTGGGTTGCAAGTAGTTGGCAGCAATGAGACGCAGAACTTCCTCTAGTGGTTTTACTCTTACTCCCTCAGGGTCCTCTCCTTGGGGTTCCTTCGAAGATTTTCCTCGTAGGTCAAGTTCTGATTGGGCACAAAAAAACCAAAAGAGAAACATGGACCAAGAAAAAACAAGGAAAGAAACGTTATGTTGTTCCTAACCCACATGAGGTTAGCGTTAACCGGCTTTCGAATAACCCAGACCTGGAAGTTTATAATAATATTCATTATTTTTCTTGCTTGACTTATTTTCTGTATGATGCCGTCTGTTTGGTTATTGAAGTTTGAAATGAAAACTTTAAATCACCTTTCTTTTTGCGCGCATGTTTGCTAATCAGATGAATGAACAAAGCAAACTATATTTCAATATTGGCAGATGCATTGTTGCTATGGTAACACCAGCCCACGCCCATGTTTTGAGAAAAAATGTCAATCTCAAGAAGTAAAACTAAACGAGTCTGGTTATCAGGTATATGTAAATCAATTCAAATGAAATTCTACTAACGCATAGAACCATTTATTTACTCCATAAAATTTGTTCGAAAATTATTTTGAGCTTTCTAAACAAATATTAATGATCCTCTTTCGAGGCTTGGTCAGAGCTTCCACTAACGATACTACATTTAGGAAATCACACACTGGCTGTGGGTAAAATTTGGGTGGC